AAGTTATTGACATCTTTGAATCCGATTCTTCCTTTAGTTTGTGCAATTGTTCTACAAATGGACCCATAGTGACCAATTGGAAGTATAGGGTTAATTCTTTGAACTAGTGATTTGTCATGTGTTCTTTTGTCATAGGCAGATCTTCTTTGTAGTTAGTCATATATACGGCTGAAAAAATATAGCTTTAGTCCGTATTTTTAGTACATTAGCACAATAAAAAGACATTTTTTTAAAGTAATGATAATATATTCTGAAAGCAGCTGCTGTTTTCGATCAGCCCATATAATTATGTTTTGTTTTGCACTTGTAAATTACGAAAATTAATAGAACGCAATGAAGGCACCCTCATATCCAGATTCCCTGATAAAAAAATTTTGTCAATGTCATGAAAATTAGTTTTTAAACTTTTTTATCACTGAAGCAGGACCTTTTAAAAGAAAACTAATTATATATTCTGATAGTGCTTGAGATTTCCTACATCCCATATATTTCTTTATTGTCTTCGCTGTACATATTCAAAAAGCAAGTCAAGTACATTGAAAATAATTTCATTGTAGAAGGATCAAATAATCTTCCTTTTGTTCGTTTTAATTATTATTTGTCCTAACTAGATTTTCACACAAATCTAATAATAGATTTGATAGGGCTCCTAGTTCTGTACCATCGTATATGTTTTTTGCATTGTCTTTAATCTATTAAATGAAACACATAAGTGTAGTATAGAAGGAAAAGACACAAGATGATAGAGCATTTGAACCTCTATAAAAATATATCATTACACTCTTCAAATTGCTTATCTATACTAGCGATAAATTGACAAGACAGAAGAATAAAGACTTTTGATCCTTCTAAATTGAGACTATACTCAGTGTGTTGGATTTTTATTTTGAATAGGTGTAGTCAAGACAATAGAGAAATATATAGGAGGGTAGAGAATTTCAATCTCTATCAGAATAAATAAATTAGTTTTTTTGAAAAGATACTGGTCTAATTTTTAAAAAAGTTTAAAAACTAATTTTCATGACATTGACAAAATTTTCTACTCGGGGAATCTGAACATGAGAGTGTCTTCATTATACTCCATTCATTTTCGTAATGCACAAGTGCAAAACAAAATATAAATATATAGGATGATAGAAAACTCCATGCGCTTTCAGAATATGTAATTAGTTTTAAAAAAATGTTTTTATAGTGACAATATACGAAAAAATACGGGCTATAACTATTTTGTTTTCCGAGCGTATAGAAATAGGTAAATGTCTTTTGAATTGTTTGGGTTTTAAACAATTGAATATTCATCTATCAGCCATGATAATCGTATCATTTTAGTTGATTTTTCATAAAAAATAATAGATTTAAATAAAAATTTTTCGACGATTGTTTTATTTGAAGTTCTATCAAATGCAACAAAATAGATTTCTAGACAAATTATATTTCTCTCAGTTGAAATATGTGGTTTATATGCACTGATAATGGAGGAAATAGATTATCAGATTAAATGTAACATATTCGTTAAAAAAACCGTTAGTAGGATCTGATCGTTGTGTGTATTTCAAAACGAATACATCTCATTTCTATGCATTGTATTCATTCGATTTCTGCTGATTAGTGGTTCAAGGGCATAATCAGATTTTTTTCAGGGTAATTGCTTCCGAGAGGTTCCAGTCATGTAAAAGAACGCATATGAATCATTCGTTCGTATGAAACGAAGAAAAAATTAGAATAATTAGCATTATCCGTATTTGCATTTATTTCAAAGAGAAACCGTCTCCTACTTGGAGTACTTGTCATCGATCAAAATTGTATATTGAATTTCTGTTTGTTTGTTAGTTTCTCTACCAATCAGATTTCATGCAAAATTACATAGAGGCATTGCATTAATCTATTTACATTCTTCGATAAGTACTTGTTTTCTGCGAAATATCTTTAAGTAATTCTATACCATGGGTCAATATCACTCATCTGAAACTTTTGTCGAGCATAATTTATCGACGATTTCTGCGCTGTACACGATTATTTAATCACAAAAATGGAACAACTTTGCTCTATTCATTAGAAAGTACAGAATCACTCATGACAACACTTTGAATTGATCGCTGATTTGAGCAGAGTAGTCGAATTCGACTTGACAGTATAACTTATCTAACTCCAAAAAAGAAGCATTTTCTCTCGACATTTTAGGTTGTCGATATTTTTATTTTCGATGTCATTCGGATGAATCCTTAGGGTTGCCTCCGCACATAGCAAAATCAATAGTAACCGTCTGATTGTAAACATATTGATTCCATTTTGACAGATCACTATTATTTACACTATATCCTACCACTGGCATTCCTTGTGTATCATTAAAAACAAGCATATTGTTCTGTTTTATTTTGAAACCCTAAGAATATTGATAGAAGCCATTGTACAATGTAAACGTTATATAATTCACATCGATGTTTAAGTAATCATTAATATTAATGTATATTGAGTCTTGTTTATAGTTAGTAGTTGTAGCAAGCTGATCATTTACATATGCTTTCCCTATATCATCAATATTATACACATGAATATAATACTGGTCCTGTAAACATGCTATAAATGCAAAAAAATTATAGTGATAATTCCAACAAGTAGATCTTCTCGTAACTGTGAGAATAAACTTTATATTTTCTGTTAATTAAGAAATATAATCATTCGTATACAGCGGATGTCAAAAGTGTTTCGCCAATTTTTTGTTTTGAGTCATATTTTAAAACTATACAACATCAATTTAATGCCACTATATATCTCTCTAGTAGAGGTCGAGTGCTGTATATATATACCTGTTTAATATGAAAAACTCTTGCATATAAAATACAATAAAAAAATTCAAGTTTATTGCTGAGAAAAAAATGACATAAAAATTCACAAAATTAGATTTTTGTTACAAGATATTTTAATCGGGAGTCAAGCACAAAAAAAAACAAAATGTTCAGAAAATTTTTTATTCTATGCGACTTTGTAGAAGTTTTTTTGCTGATAATTTTCGCATAAAAACATTAAGAGATTCATTGAGAAATGATGGTGCACTCTAAAAAGTTTCCGTAGCCAGGAAAACCGAAATCAGCTCGGAAACCCTTTCTGGAACCTTTTTTGGTTTCCGAAAAGGTTTCTGATCATCGAAACCATTTTCGGAAATACCTTACTGGTTTCTGGGGTTTCGGAAACATTTCGTTTGTCTAGAACACCCAATCCAATGCTCTTAGTGTAATCTAGAATACCCTTTCATCATTATCGAAAACCAAAACAGTACTTTCGGCAATCGATTTTTCTCTAAAATGTCACTCCGTATCCGAAAACGTATCCGACGATACCTATTCCATTTCCGAATTACCAGATGGGAAACCAAAACGATTTCTGAGCTTTTAAAACCCACAAAAGGTATTCTACGATGCCCTTTGGGTTTCCGAGATATACTATCGAAAACTTGTACGGTTTCCAACAGCTTGCATATCGAAAGCTGCGAAATAAGTTTTTCTAATAAAACACAACGTGACACAAAATCCCACAATTAACTTCGTCCGATATTAATTTATCTTATTATCATCGCTTTTAACAATTACAGATGATAGTTTAAGAAGGGTGTGGGTGTAGATGGCTAGAAGAAAAATACTCACACCCCTATACGGCTAATTTTTATCATGGTCGGATGAATGTTGAAAACAGATGAATGGCTGAAATTTGAGTTGATAAGCCAAAATCTGTAAAGGACTTCGAAAAATTTCAAACATCATCAATATTATAGAGTATTTTTTGCGCTGATCACTTCGGTAAATTTTTTCTTTCAAATCGATCGATAAATAAGAATGCTAGGATCAAAATACTGAAAGACTAATATCCTTATTTATCGGTCAATTTGAAGAAAAACAACACAGTATTGTATGTTTATTGTTGAATACAATTATAATCTACATGAGAGTGCAAATGGCAGATGTCGGTGAATTGTGACCAAGCACGTGCGATATGTATTTTTGAATTTCATCGATGAAACAAAGATATGTGCTCAGAGTGAGAGGTGTGTGTTGACCATTGGCAGCTATTTCATCCTTTAGTTTTTCAAACATTGACTCGCGATTCGTGGTACACATTGTATAGACTTGATGGAGAATACGCCCATTCATATTGGCAAATACGGGAAGAAGACTGTCCAGATTCTCGTTGATGAGAAACGATATCACATGTTCCTTCGTTCACAGGTCGATACAGTGTGACAAGTTCCTTAAAGTATAGATACAAATGAGAGAAGTGTTCTAACTGTGAACATAGAGTATATAAGATTCTGCATGACTAGCAGCTAAACACAGAGATAAATATATTTGACCAAATGTGGGAAGTTTTCAACAAAAGAAAATAAAGCAGTCTTTTTTTAAAATCAATTTCATGGACTTTGGAAGGGTACCATTCACCTCTGAAGATACACATCAATCTTTAAAAAAAAAATTATTGTTAAAAGTTGTTTTGAAATTATCTGTATCGAAGTATATCAACGATTTTTTGATGATGATTTGATCTCGAATAAAGTTGATTATCGAGACTGCATCTTTCCGGAAATCAAATTTGGAGAGTCTATTTCAGGATTAGACGCTCTTAAAATAATTCTTCATGAGAAAAAACAGGAAGACATAGCGTTAGGAAAACGTAACTCGAGCTTGTTTTCTTTCAGATCGTGAAGCCAATTGAACTATTTGTTAAATGACAACACTGATCGAATCGAGATGCACAGCATGTGCTTTGCTTGTTTGAAATAGTATGACTTTGAACAAAAGAGATATGTCTACGTAATCTCTTGATTCTTTTAAACAAAGCATACATCCCTATTTGGTCAGACTCCTGATAAAAATGTTTCAGCAAAAGCAAATGATTTGGAGAAACATTACATACATTGTTATTGATCGTTGATCATCTGAATTGCTGGGTGTTATTTCTATTGACGTTAAAGGTGTTTCTGTTGTGGATGAATCGTGTCGAAGTTGATCTTAATTCCTAGTTAAATGCTGGAAGTTCTTTCGTTGTTGATCGATTTCATTTTTTAATTTAAGATAAGTTTGATCAAAACCGAGTTTTGGAAAATCAATGTAGATCTTTTCACTGACTGTGAAACCTAACCATCCATCTGGTCTATAGTTTGGCTTCATTGCAATTGGTATCAAATGACAGCGACGCTCATAAGCATAATGAGCTTCGGATTGACAATAGGCACTTTGTTTGTATGCATCTGACATACAGGTTAAAACAAATTGCGAATTTTCAATTGCATCAGCCATCGCGACCATAGTTGCTCCATGCATGTCATCTCTATTGAGGCATACACGAAATTGATCTTTATTCAGATGATCATGAAGACGATAACACAGATCCTTGTCACTGTGAGAATAACTCAACATAATGTCATATTTGTAACTCATAGCACTTTGCATAGTCGAGTTTGTGACTGAGTTAGCAGCTGCTGTGTCTTCTTTTTCCAATTTCCAAATAAGACCTTCAGCAGCGCGTCTCACGCCTTGTTCAAGTGATAATGTTAGAAATGTTTTAAGATGGGATACGAATTGTGAATTTTGCTTGAGTAATGTAGCTGCTTGGCTATTGAATGTCATAGCAAGAAGAATCTCGAGCACTGGTTGCTGTTCTTTCAACGGATCAAATTTGATTTCTGTTGCACATCGAATAAACTGTGGCAATATACCTTCCTTTATCAGTTCTTCTTTAATTTGATTGTGTTGCACCAAACTTACGCAAGAGATAAGATACAAAAATACAATTTTCGTTGATTTCTGTCAGGGCTGAGGGGACTCCGGTTCATCTCTTGGAACAACAATTTCCTGAATGGTGTCAGCTTCAGATTTTATAGAGCGATTGAAATTACGCAACAAGTTGGAGCGATATCCAAACGAAGACACTTCGCGAAACTCGAATCCTGGGCTAGGCTAGGCAAATCAAGTCTGCTAAGGGATTTTCGTTTGTTTCAGACATTCTGTATTATAAGCAATGCTTCTAATACTTTAAAAACTGTCTCGCACTTAAAGAGAGCTGGTAAATTTTAGATTCTATCTAGTTGTTAACTTGAGCTGAAAAATATTGACAGGGTCAACTTGACCTGGAAAATCGAACTTGCCAGCTCTGTTCGATTCATGTACATTCCGCTGCATTCGACTAGAAGGGATATTTGTTTCGTCGTTTAGAATCGAACAGTCTCAAACTGACTCTTACAGAGGGAATGCGTAGATTGAAATTTGGCGACAAAGAAGAAGTTTTGTTACAGTTACTTCTTTCTTCAGCACTCGAGCTCACCCCTTAGAAAATTCCTGTCTACGGGCCTGAATTTTTTCTATCAAATTGACAGATAGTTCGACTTACTCTTTAAACAGCGAAACAGATTTCGTAGTCGTCGAATTTTTCTCGAATTATCAATTACTTCGATGAGGAATGTGAAAAAAGACATTGGCAATTTTGCTTGGATTGGCTAACATTTTAATATCTTGTTCTGTCATAATTGAAGCTAAAATACGATAAGCATTAAATTGCATTTCTTCATTACCAATATCGATCAATTTCAATAGAATTGGAGATAATTGTCGATTTTTGATATAACCTAATAGATTATGTTCTAATGTCAATACATATAAATGAAATATACAAATGGCTATCAAATTGATACTCGATGTTGCCAGTTGTAGAATTTGATAATGGCGACAGAATGAAAACAGAACCATCAATAAGTTTTTCACAATCATCACGAATATCACCACTGAGTATTTCATCATTCTTCAAGCCAAAATCGAACATAATAGCACATTGTTTGTCTATAACATTGTTGGTCAATTGATTCCATTGTCGAAAGGTAGATACGTGACTTTGAAACCATTGTGTAAACGGTTTTAATAGAGTTGTACGAACAACAGAATAGATGTCATGATGACGACGATTATCTTCATACCAAGCGATATAATCCGTACATGTATTAACTAGAAATGTTTGTGCTTCATTGAGATCATTTAATTCGGTTATTTGCTTGAATATGTTGAAAAAAAATGGCGAACAAAAACACATTTGACTGTAGCATCTAAAAGTGGTCTAAGTAAAGAATCATTCTGAATTTCCAATCGACGTCTTGAAAGACGATGAATGGCGCGATCCATAAAATCGATAGCAGTGATTTGAAAATCTTGTAAATATTTGCCATTCATTGCAATTTCGATAAGATATTCACTAAGTTCATCAATAAGCGGCTTATAAATGAGCAGTTATTTAACTGCGTTTGTATTGATATCAGTGACATCATTACCAATAACTGAAAACATAGCCGAGATTTCGGAGAAAATTGTACGAGATGATTGCTCGAGTAGTTGATCGGTTCTCCATCGATATAGGATGTTTAAATAACAATCACGAATAATGATAAATAGTGAATGATTGACAATGTCAGATTGACTGTAGAGATTGATATCATCTATCGTAATGGATGCTGATATCTTTTGAATTGCATTGATATTACTTGGGAATTTGAGTTTGTCCAATTTGGACACAATCGTATCAAAACATTTCTTAAGTTGTTCAATATTGTGAGATGCTATTTACTCTTTGATTAAAAGATATTGTTGGTCAATAATCGAAGATTCACTCATCACACCGAGTCAATAATAGAATTTCTTTTTCTTGTAATAGCCTATGATCAATCAATAGTACGTATTGTCAGTTTTGTTCACCATCGGAAAAGGAATTTGTCTGTTTCACAATTCATATGATTCGAAAAACTACGAGAGTAATCAAACATTGTGCTCTGCTGATGTCGAACGAAAGAAAAGGTAAGAGAGAAAATTGTTTTCTTTGTTAACAGAGTTCTGTTCTATCATTACCATGCCATGAAAAAATGAAATATTTTCAACATTGCTACTGTTGTTAAAACACGAGGCGCATTTATTTTTTTCTGTTGTTATGCGATGATGTGATGCACACTATGTCAATGTATACAGACCGATTATATGAAAGAATAAAACAGTTCTTTCTTCACTATTCTCAAGGCGTATTGTCATGAGCGTTTCGAATCTGAGCTAACAATAGTTTTCATTATCTTTCCAACGCATCTTCCTGAAAATGACACTTTTATTTAAACATGGAATATATCAACTTGATGGTTAAATAAGGCTCTATTTAGTTATATTTTGTACTCTTCACCCTTGTGCTGTTTCGAACTGAATGCTCAATAGAAGCATTATCGACAACTGGATTGAATGGTAGTCGCATTGATCATCTCTGAACATTGTATTTATTTTTCGTTACATCATTCATAATCGAATGACTAGTTTAATGCTAGTTCAGAAATGAATTTAGTTTTGAAGCTATCGTTATGGCGAAATATGAGAAGTAGAGTCAATTTTTTCATCATAGTATTCATTCAATGTAAGCTCATCCGAAAGCCCTTTATTGGCAAAAATGAAATTATGTTTACCTAATCATGATCATGTTATTTTTCAATGGTGCTCTCGCGGAATCAATCATTGAACACTACTGTTGAGCATGATCAATATGCGACTACTTTAATTGAAAACATAAAAGTTCCAATAGATACTGAAAATGATTTTGTCTTGGTTTTGTGAATTCATCTCTCACAAATCGCTGATCACCTCTTACTCTCATACCTTGCTACCTCAGCCTTCGCTACTCTAAGTAGTGTTAGATAGAACGTCAAGATATGCATCATTTTAGTAAGTAGGCAATCTCTAGTCGACCAATTTCTTCATTCAGATTAAGACGCGCATTGAACTCACACACAATAAGCCATTCGAAAAGCTGCTATTTCATATTCTGCCAACTATTAAACAAACACAAGCCATGCTTTTCTTTTTGTCATTTAAAATACCATTCTTTTCTTTCGCTTCTGAGCAGGCATATCGTGCACGGAGAAAAAAGTTTGAATGTAAAATATGCATGCGGTGCGCACTCGAGAAATACTGCATTTCTCTCTGTCATAGCAACATCTATGCAACTGCATCATGCACTTAAACTTCGATAGCTTTCTCATGCACAACTGCCAGAATAACAATCTTTGTGGCATACTATTTTCTTATTCTCCTATAGCAACTCAAAACTTGCTTGTGCTACAACAAGGACAACGATTATCATCATCATGGGAAGCTGCTGTGGAAGTCGTCCATCTGAGCAGAAATTGAATGCCTCACAAACTGGCAATAGCTCTCATGACCATTATGAAGAGGGTAATCAGACTGGTAACCATGGAAATAGCCATGAACACATGAGAAAAGTGATGAAAGAAGAATACAACCAAAAGCACTCTCAACTCATATAGTGAACAGATACACTTTGTATTAAATGCGCCAGTCAATCATTGTCAAGTATTACTGTGACGATTTTTCGATACAATAGACACTGTTTAAGAGCCATTATATGTATACTTTATTAATGTATCAAAAATCGTTCCTTATATACTATTTTAGATAGCATGTAACGCTCTTGAAAGTATAGGGTGTAGGGTGTGGGTGTGTTAAATTTCAAAGATTTCAACCGACTCATTCTCAAAATTGATACTTTTTTCCTCTTGTGAGATTTAAATCACCATTACTGTTAAATCTCATGTCTAACTGTTTAAATTGCCATAAGCTATTTAATCTTTCGTACACCTATTTAAATGTCTATATACTCTTAAATGCTTCGTGAGTATATTGAAAGTTTAGAGTGACCAGTTTAATTGAATAGATGTACTCAAATATGGATAACATTTTTAAATTCAGTTTAGCGATGGAAATGACTTCTACTTTTGAATGTACGAGATAGTTTATTATAGTAACGGAGAGCGCATAATAAATGAGGGTGTGAGTGTCAATGCGACTAAAAAGAAGATCACTACCCACACCCACCCACCAACACCCACACGTTCATTGCAATATCTGAGGGGGTCAATGTTTGTCTGTAACGTGACCAAAGGCTGATTGCCATGGTCTGGGATGGTTTAGAGGGTTCTTCAACATATTTGGCACGGTTTGTAACGCTGAAAAGATTTTTAGACGTGGGTGTGGATGTTCTTCATCACAGCATACACGCATGCCTACACCCACATCCATATGTACACACCCATACACCCTCCTAAACATAAAGCAAAAGAATTATAAAAAAAATAATTTTCTTATAAGTAACAGTTTACTGTTTTGTATATGATAATTATCCAAGAATTACATTTATTATTGACCTAATATTTTACAGAAGAGACCAAAAGAGTGTTAATAAATAAGTTACATTTGTTTTATCTATGCAGAAATATTTCTTGCTCTTTTCAATCGTATCAACTAAGAAAGAAGCTTGAAATTAAATTTGTAGCATTAGGGTGCATGTGAACATCATTTCATTTTCATAGCTACAAACGTTAAGATATAAGTCAAACCAGTTTGACAATCGGTTAACCTTACCATCTTGAAATATGTTGTAGTTCTTATCGTTGTTTAAAACTGAAATAAAACGGTAAAAAATATCATTAAATGACTATCTACTATTTCAGATAATATTTTTACTATACGTTAGATAAACAAACAGTGCACGCTTGTTTGACGTTTTCTAACAACAATTGGAAATGTGCGAGATCTTCTGTATCTATCATTGATTTTAGAACCGATCAACTATAGAAGAAATATATTTTAGCAAATCTTGTTGATAGAGATTTTGTATCTATAATCTGTTTATTCACATTGGGAAGCATGATTGTCTTCTTCAGAAGAAGTCAACAAATGTTCCTTTCTGACTGGAAAGTTTTTCATATATTGTGGTACTTATCATTGACCTTGATTTCATAGTAAACAAAATACAATTTAAATATCCTCACTACATTTCTTTAGAACGAAATTTGATCAATCTGTTACCTTGTTTTAGATTGATTTGTAAAAAAAAGAATAAAGAACGTATAACAACACAATGTAGAAATGAACATAGTTTATATGTATAACTGATGATTAATATCACATATTGGTCGTTAGCTTATCTTTTGTCTATTTTTATGAAAAAAAAANTTTGGTTGTATCAGATATTTCCTATTGTGTATTTTCTTGGTTTCTATTCTTATTGTTTCTTCTTTGATGTAATCACTCATAATCTTCCCAATTGTATTGTTGCTTATTTGGAATATCTAATCCTCTATCTAATATTTGGTATAAATACCTGCTGTTCTTTATATAAGAATATTTAATTTACGTTAGAAATAAACTTATATACACAACAATGCATTACAAAATCTAACATCTGAAAGTAGTCCTTCTACGAGAAAGAGCTGAGCGAGTCTGTGGACGAGCGTTACTTGTTAATTTTAGCTGTTTCTTTTCTTTCGTTTTGTCACGTATTTTTCATAGTGCGTTCTCCCGGTTTCTTATGTTACTATCTCTCTTATTTTGATACAATTAACTCATGTATTTCTTGCAACTGTATTATGTTATCTATTGATATATTCCACCTTTCATTTAACATCTGATGCATCTATACCTGTTATTTCTATGTGAGAATCAGTTGTATGATGCTTCATAAATCAACTCTATTCATCACAATAGTTATTGAATCTAAAATTTGCGTCATATATATCCAATGTTTGTCGTCTTGAAAAATACCTTGATATATAATGCTAAACAACTATCTTAATAATCATTCTCTTCATATGCCTTCGCACAGAGCGGTCGCATTGTTGCTCGTCAACTTACATACTTTTCTTCCTTCGTATCCTATGAGTACTTCCCGTAATTCACGGAGGAACAGCTTTATGTCCTGAAATTATTCTCAATTGGTCAAAATAAATATATTGAACAATTATTTTCGAACAACTCAGTCTAATCCAAGTGAATCAGATATGAATAATCAATACCCACTATGTGAACAACATCAGCAAAATTTTTCTCAATCAACAATGTGACATGATGACAACGATATAGAACAGCAAGGCAGTCTTCTTCATTCACTAGAACGAGACCCTCACATGTTGCGCAATTTCTATCATTTTATTGAAGTAATGAAAGCTCATGGCGCACGACAATCTACCCAGCAAATGTATTGTGAACAAATTAATTAACGTCAACAGCAAAATTTCATCTATTTTAAATATTAAAAAAAATTTTCAGCGTAAAACATCAATACTGAAACATGGTCGACCGCTCAATTATAGCGGTGAATCTATTAATTTTGTATCGAAGCGACATAAATCAAGTAACTTTACGCTCATGAACAGAGAAAATACAACAACACCTAATCAACAACAACGAAAATTACTTCCTTTCGATCAGTTAAAACGAGCTTTATTTTCGAATCTGTCATGTTTCTTCATCAAATGCAAGCAATCTAACACTTCGCAGCAGCTCCCATTAGTCTTTGAAGCTAGTAATACTGTTGAAAAGCATTTCGAAAAACAAAAAGTAAACATTAGACATTTTTTTATTAGTATGATGGTCAAGTAACCGTATGAAGTTAGCAGTGAACAACAAAGACTATATAGCATTAGTAACAATAAATATCAACAAAGGAAGAGTATAATTGCATCAACGTATCAAAATATGCACAGTGTGATAGTAAATGTCACTCAATTACTGGTCAGTGTCGAGTCATCCAAGAATAGCGTGCTGACCTAAAAGAAGATACCACCAAAGCCTTAGAATACGGAAAAATACATCGAAACAAATCTACTAACTAACAATCCGTTTTTAGTATTAAAGATCAAGAGATTTCACCACTGAACAAATGGAAAAAACCTCGACAAGCAGCATAGAATCATGTAAAAACACAAATATGCTCTGACGATGCACGTAAAAATAATCGAAGGATAGAACGAAACCTTGAGAAGATCGATTCGAAATTGAATCAAGCAGCCTTAGACATAGTTACATCAAACCACAGAAACATTGAACTGACTCAGGATCGCAGTCTAAACTCTTACTTATTTATCGTGTTTTATTGTGATTTAGTTCAATGCATTGGAGTGCATTCAGATCATCTTTTTGAAGATGATGTTTGTGCTATTATTAGACCTCCTATCTCCAGAAAAGTAGCGCCAATGATCGAATAGTTAGAAGAAGAAGGTAAGCAAGTGTGTCATCGAATATTGACATACTCAAAAAAAGAATCGAAACAACTGATGAATGTATCAAAAACAATAGTACAATTGTTTTATATACAAATAAAGAAGCCAAAAGTGCACATAGAAATGAATGAGCAAAAAAATCAAATTAGCAAATGATTTTATATATCTAGGATTTGTATGGGCCAACAAATTATCCTTGAAGCCAGCAATTGATAGGTGTATAGAAAACATTCAGAAATCTCTGGGGAAGTTTACACTATGACTAATGAATTCTCATCAGAGGCTTACGTTAAGCACTACACTCAAAGAAGATTAAAATGTATGCACAGAGACAGATCTTGGCTGTTCGCTCTTCTATAATGATATTTTTCTTTGGGATGATTTTTATAAAAGAAAGAACGATCATTAGTTTTTTTCGTAGCAAGCGTGTAAGACACTTGACAGAAAAGTACGAATCACTTCTCTTAAAACGAATATCATTTTTTGAAATAAAGTAGTTGTATAAAAAAAACAGAGCATAAAAGATTCTTCTCCTTTTTTTCTTTTTGTTTGCTTCTCCCTTATCTTTATTTTTGTCCTTGAAATGCTTACAAGCATCCCTCTTCACTTTTTTTTCTCTTCTCTTTTTCGTTCTCTTGCTTCTGCTCAAATTCTGCAATTCTTTATGATTTTTTTTGCCTTTTTCTTCTGTCTTTGTATTTATTCTTTTACACCCACACGAGCATATTTATTAATTTGTATTATGATATTGTTGGCGACTGTAAAACTCATTGTATTTATGTTGCATTTAATTCTTAAATATCATAATTTCTCCTTATATATTATCATGTAAACACTTCCGAGTGCTACATTTACGAACATAATAAAAAAAAGCACCTCAATAATCCATTCTTTGTCAGTGTTACCTTGAAAGCATGAAGAGAACAGGACGAAAAAGAGAAACATTTGCACAAAAGAATAATAAAATATGTCGAAGTTAATGTCAATTTACAAATGTCTTCAACGTCGAATAAAAACAACGTAAAAGGTTATGTAGCTTCTGACTGGGTGAGTGTGTGTTCAGCTTTCGAACAAAATTTAGCTGATGGACTTGACATTGGTGCGAGTCTATGTGTTTATCATCGAGGAAAATGTGTAGTGGATGTAACGGGTGGATGGAAGGATGCAGAGACAAAAAAGAAGCCATACACATCAGACACACTACAGCTTGTTTTTTCTGCATCCAAAGGAGTAATGGCTGCCGCTGTGGCGTTGTGTGTCGAGAAGGGTTGGCTTGATTACGATGCACCTGTAGCTCAATACTGGCCCGAATTTGCCACCAACAACAAGCAGGTACTTCGCACACTTGATATGAATATTTTTGAGTATTTGTCTCTACTTTCTTTTCACTCAGAACATCTTGTTGAGAGATGTATTATCTCATCGAGCTGGCTTGCCATTCGTCGATCAACAGCTTACTGCTAATGATACGTTTGATTGGTCTCGAATGACCTCTTTATTAGCAGCTCAAAAGCCTTATTGGGAACCTGGAACAGCGCATGGATACCACGCTCACACCATTGGATTTATTGTTGGTGAACTGATACGTCGTGTCGATCCGCAACATCGTTCATATGGTCAATTCATTCGTGATGAGTTGGACAATGAATTCTACGTGGGTGTACCTAATGATGAAGTTGAAGCACGTGTTGCTCCTCTCATTCAAAAGCAGGTGAAATAGTAGAGATGTGATTTTGTTTTCATCTGACACTGTCGTAGAATGCTTTGAGCTTCTTAAGATTTAGAATTTGTTTCTTTGAAACAATTCAATGAAAGTCAAGAAATGTTGATAAAACAACTATGTAGAATTTGAACATCTTTAAAGTTTAGAGTATTTGATAAGTCTAAATTCCTGAAACGTACTCTTATCCGTAATTGACAATTGAATTTAACTTTCTTCTTTAAGGAGAATAGCAATACCACTGATGTTCTTCCGATGGATCAGTTCACTGAAAAAGCATTAACATGTAATGGAGCTTTTCCAATGGGCCAACCCGATAAAACTGTCATTGTCTTCAACGAAGCCCGGCTTCATCGAGCTGAGCTACCTGCTAGTAACGGTATTACAAATGCTCATTCGCTTGCTCGTATCTATGCTCTCCTCATTGGTGATGTGAATGAAAATGGTGAAAAGAAAAAGTGCCTTTTGAAAGAGCAAACACTGGTACGGGCAACTAGAAATGTCACACCATCGGGTGAGCTCGATCGTACTTTGTTCGGATGGCCTACAGTGTTTGGAATGGGTGGTTTTGAAATATATAGCGATGATTTCAAAACACTGGGTAGTAATGTCTTTGGTCATACAGGTGAGATATTTTTTAAAAATTCGTACTGAATAATGTGTAGAAATTTTTTTGTTTTGTGTTAATATGGACAAAAAAAACGCTGAAATTCATACTTGAGCACTGAAATAGTATATAAAAGACACTACGGCGAAATAATTAATGTCGGTAAAAACGATTTTATATTAAACATTTGCGTTGTTTTGGTAGGTATTGGTGGCAGCTGTGCCTTAGCCATTCCTTCCCGCGATTTGGTCTATGCACATGTGTGTAATTATCTTGATTTCAATTCATTTGCTGTCGATCCGCGCAGTGTTCGTGTACTACAAACGATCGAAAAGATTCTCGCCCGACATGATCCATCATAAATATTCTACAAAAAATACTGGGTTAATACAAAAAAGACACCGATAAAGTGATTGGAGATAACCAGTAATGAGCACATATGAGGGAAGCTTTCTATACGATACTTATAGGTAAATAAAATAGTGAACACGCTCGAGATATAATTGTATCATGCAAAAGAGAAAATTGTATCAGGCAATTTTTTAACTGTTCGACCACTCAATATCTGAGTGATAATGACAATGTTGTTTTCGAATTGAACCGTATGTCTTAATTCTGATCAGTGACAGATTCGTCTATGCCTTAGAAATTACGTTCTTACCTTTACCGTCACAAAATAGTACTTATTCGAAAATACCTTCATATATGATCCTTTTATGGAAATAGTTTTAGTTTAATATATTTATAATATTATCCAAAGCTTGTTCATATCACTCCCATGCTCATAAATAAACATGAGCGTAAAATTCATGTGTATTATATTTTCCAAAAATTATCCATTACTACCAATTATCTATTCACTTATTTATGTTCACTATTTTGATGAATATTATTAGTAGTAAGTTCTTTCATTGATCAGAATAGAATAAGCAAAATTGTATGATAATTAACAATGTAAATAAAATTTGACAACAAGTAGGTTTCCTTAGTAGATTTTGTCTTCATAGGCAAAGCACATTTTTTGCACTATATCTGATTTTGTAAGAAAAGAAGAATTTAGAATTTACACCGCAGAATTCTATTCAGATAATATCAGACCAACAATAAATTTACAATAAAAGAAAATAGCAATAAACATCTTTCGAATAAATTTCTAATTATTTGACAATTAATCGCCTCACTCTAGCGAAATTGTGTCTCGTTACATCTCTTGTAAAGCTTTCTGTTACCGGTTTCAATTGATAATAATAAACCCTCAACTCATTTAAACGAAGCAGATGTATTTTTGTTTCATTGAGAAAATGTTCAACATAATGAGTTTTTACAAATTCTATATCAAGTGAAATAAGATGAGAATAAGTCATCCTTGACTAGATGATGTTGGTAAAATCTCCAAAGTGGTAGTCGGATATTCCGAACCGATAGAGTTTTAAGAAATGGAGAAGCTCGAGCAAGTCGTTTGAAACGTTCATGTTTGAACGGCACTTTATCGCATAATATCAAATGAGTAACGCACTTAAATATAATATATGGAAAATTATTTGTAATATCTTTTTGATGAGGAAATATGAATGGAAGTTAAAAGATGCAACATATGCTTTTGTAAGGACCGAAATAATTTGCAATACAAGCCACTTTTTGGAGATATGACATTCGACCAAGACAAGGTGCAACTAGACTGTCACATTCTTAAGTATCGCTATAACATTATTAATGAAAAACATTTCAAATTAGGTANTCAATATACGATCCTTAACCCATATACTTTCAAGTTCACAAAACTAAACAAATGATAAAATTTAATACATTTAGATAAATGTGTGTGCAAATTTCAATTGAAATGAACTATAATTTTACAATCATTTTCTTCAAAAATAATTATATACAAAGGTGTTCGAAGAATTGACTTTTTCACCAAAAAATGGGAAACGGTTAACTATTCTCTCTAGTGAAGTTTTAAGAAAAGTTTGTTTTTAAAATATTCTGATAGTTTTGCAATGACTTTCATAGATTATCGCGCACTATCTGTGACCACTTCAAACTTCTTCGATTATATGTGAGTTAAATGCAAAAATAAACTTGAGTACGTACGTATGGAAACATACGAAGAATGGCATTTTTAATCGGTTGTCGACACCATGTAAACAAATTGGTATGCATTAAGATTACTGCATTCATAAAAATAAAATTATTTTTTATGTTATAGCTTTGTTTGTAAGAACTAACATAATATCTATACCTGTATCAATCAAATTCAATGCTTTACGAGCTTCAGCATTAGCTTCAATGGAATGATCATAATTGTGAACTGAAAATATTATTAAAATGGAGAATAACCTTTCAAATATGAAGAAAAAATTGATAAATAAAGTCATGTCTTACCGAGAGGTGTCTTTTCATAAGTTTCGATAGCTTGATGCAATCTTTGACATATGCTATCAATACATTGATTGATATTAGGATGACGGGTTGAATTTCCATTAAATAATTTTATATCGAAACTGAGCGATATAGATAGTACACTATAAAAAAACGATTCGTTTTGATTTAATACGAGCATGACATATATTAAAATAGTTCTCACTTTGCAATATTTTCACGAATAAGTTTTAATGGATGATCAATTAGTTCTTTAGCATGTTCATAAATACTACACCAAAGTGATGGAATACGCCATTGAAACATTGACAAAGTTTGAATAAGAGACCAACGTGATATTTCATTAAAAGTATTCGATGTTATTTGATTATTGATTAATGTACAAATAAAATCAATAAGTCGATACATTCGACGAGGATCTTCATGTTTCTTTAAAAACAAGAAAATAAATAATATTGAATAAAAAGAAAAAAAAAAATAACTAACCATAGCATATTTGAAACATTTATTCCAGTGACAGAGCGTTTCCGAATTAAGATTGAGACAAACTTCAGTAAGAAATGGTATAAGTTTTTTCCAGAGTTCATCAAGCTAAAGTAAATATTCAATGTTTAATTGAAAATTCAATTATTCTTTTTTTCTTTCTTTTTTTTCGAATTACAAGTTTCTTTTCATATTCATGATTAAATGAAGTCAATAAATGTATAATAGAAAATGAAATATTTCTACTCACCATTTCTAATGTCCAATGTTTTGAACCACGCATCATGCCACCTACAATATCGGCTGCTAATCGATGATTTCCTTCTTGTTTTTCGTGTATTTTTTCTCGAATAAGTTCATACAATTGTTCCATGAAATGATCAACAAATTCAAGGCCAAAATTACGAAAGAGACCCTAGAAATGACAAATTATTTATTTATCGAATCGATATAAAAATATGTATAACAGTTAGTAGTATTTAAAGTATGAAATTTTTTTTAAGAATTATTTTTAACATCAAGATCTTGTTTTTCGAAAGTATCTGAATGTGATAAAAATTGAGTGAAATTAAAAGTATTAGAATTATAATTTTTACAAAGGAATCGGTTATTTCATAATGTTTATCTGCTATTCTTATGGAATATACAATAGAGAAATAAAAAATATTTGATATTTTTATTGAAAAAAATCTAATAGAAATTCTTATTTGTCAAATAAAATCTATGAGATATATGGATCGGACAAGGTTTATTAAATAGTTTTTTCAATACGAATAAATACCTCAAATCATTCATTAGACTATTATATTATTTTTACTCTTATATATTACCTTGAACATACTAAATCGAATATAATCGTAATTGATTCCATCGGTATTTTCATTTAAAGATATTAATTTTGTTAATTGTATAATAAAGTTTTTATCAATAAAACGATCATGAATAATAGCTATTTGTTCTGACATATTATTTTCTGTGTAACGTATTCGTTTATTCATTGGATATTTAATCATTTTTGGCCATGTATAATAACCATGAAATGTTCTATCCAAAAAGCACATTTCTTCCCATTCAATTTGAGTTTCTGGTGGTTTATAACCATTAATAGTTACCCATAAATTATCATCACGATCACCTGGTTGATATTCATTATGCATGTTAATTGATGATAATTTCTCCTTATTGTCATAGAAAATTTCGTCAATAGACTTTTCAACATAGATTCGAGTTGGTTTTTGCAAACGACAAAGTGCTGCTATACTTTTTGTAGCATACTAAATAGAATTAATTGAAAAATCATTTATTTTTCTCTATGTATTTATCAACAAACCATTCTTAATTCAATATTATCATGAATGAGATGATCAACAAATGTACGAATAGATGATGATGGAATTTGTACATGTCTTTGAAGAAGAAGACAAAGAAATGACATTGTCATCTCTTGTTGTCTCCATGTTCTGAATATTGATCAGAAACAAAAAAAAATAACTTTCAGATATTAACATTTGAAGACTTACAAAATATTGCTTTTGAGTAGTGAACTTAAACTTTCCATCAGATTATTATATGATTGAATATTAATTTGATTACGTTCTTCACGTATTTTCATTGTATTTGATTCTATTGGACGCCATAGATCAATTGCTGAATGTATTGATTTTTCATTAATATTTTGTATGATTTCTTTTGTAACAAAAACTCGATTGATTTTATTCTTAATTTCATTGAGCAAATTTTGTGTACTAATTTTATTTGCATGATTCATACGCACAATTGCAGGCCATAACTTTTCTATTGTTATCCAAGAATCTTCCGTAAGCATAAAATAAGTATTATTACCAAGAAGAATATACAGACAACCCTAAATAAATATATCAATGAAGAACAAAAATAAATAAAATATAATTAGAAGAAATATAGTAATAACTAACTTTGATTTGATCATGATCGACTGTGCCTGATGTATTAAGAAATTTAATAATTCGATTAACAATAACTTGTGATGAAAAACGATAACGATGAAGAACGGAGAATAATTCAATTTGTGCATGACGACGTATCTAAAAATTTTGAAAATAAATATGAATATTCTTAAAAAAACAAAATGATTTCACTTACTTCACTGTATCGATTTATTGATAATTCAAATAATTTCAATGTAACTTGTTTGTCAATTTCAGTTAATGTTCCATATTCAACCATTTCAAATAACTACAACATAAAAAAAAAAAAAAAAAGAAAAATGATTTATCATCAAACTTCTATTTGTTCAATTTTGTTCTATTTGTGATTACCTCAATTTGTAATGCTATTCGTTTCATTGTCAAATATTGAGGATTTTGTCGTTCACCACAGAGTTTATTTTTTATGAATAATTTGTTAGATTGTAATTCTTTACGCATATCATTAATATGATGTTTAGATGCACCATAACAGATAGATGTAGCTGAGTAGATCTATAATTTAACTCGTATATTTACTAAGAATATTGTACTATAAATGATCTAATGTTTACCTTATGTGCAATTTTAATAGATGATACATCGTCTGAATGATGTTCTACAAGTACATCTAACAAAAAAAAAATCAAGAAAATATATTTGAAATGATTCAATAATTTAAAAACAAACTGAGTAATTTGCCCATATCGATGAGAAGACGTAATCGCAAATTTTCTCGAAATTCTGAAAATAATAATCATTTTGATAAGTATGATTTATTTATTTTATTTTTTTTTTCTCGAAAAGATTCTTCTTACTTGGCACTTTGGAATAGATCGAAAATTGATTTTGAAATTGTGAACTACAGGGAACAACTGTTGGTATTCTATCATAATATAATAATTAGTTTCTTTTGGAATCTTTTTTTTTTCCTCATATTCTAGATTTACTTACAGATTTTGTACATTTGGACTAGAAAACCGTGGTACGATACGAAAACATCCAATAGCGATATTGTGAATAATTGTCAACGATCTTAATCGTTCATTATTCGATTGTTTTAAACTTTTTTCTTTTAATAAATCCAATTCCGCATAGATAAATGTTTCAACAAATTCACGAACAAAATCAAGTTCATCATCATTAGGAATATGATATTGAACTTGACATGTATCAACATTAATAGGTTGACCCCATGCCTAGATAATCATATAAGTAAACAATCTTATATATGAAAACGAAATAAGAAAGAACAAAAAAAAAAACTCACTCGAATAGGCAAAAAGTCAATATATGGTCCATCGATATTTTTAATTGTTGATCGAATATTAATCATATATACATGAGTAAGTGATTTGAGTAAATGTTTAGCTGCTTTAGCAATAGCTTTATATGAAACTTTGTGAATGATTTGAATACATCGATGAAAAACCGAAATAATCATTTGTTTGTAAATAATTAAAGTATCACCACGAGCACGAACAAGTTCAGAAAAAAGAATTAAATACCAAGTAAGTTCTTTGTCACCTTTATGACAATTTAATAAAATATTTGCTTCTGAATCATTCATAATCTTATTGATTGATTCACATGTTTTTGGTAGCAGATACTTCAATGTTTGGACAGGATCCCCAACAATAATTGCTTGAACAAGACCCGTTACAAGTTTTTTCACTTTCAATGGCCAACATGCTTGAGTAACAAAATTTGTTATTTTCTCTCGAATTATCTAAATATCAAATATAGAAAAATAATAAAAATCAATGATACATAATGATTTATTTGGTCAATTCGAAATCATGACTGATAAAGAAAGATTTCCATTCAAAATAGTCATTTTTTTTTTCTTTTGAATTTGGTTCTCAACATCTATATAATTTCAAGATGAAGATTAATATTTCAATGTTCTTCTGGCATAAACTTTTGACTCAATTAATTGATCAAAGTAAAGAACAACTTTTAATTCAAAGAATTTTACATTGCAAAAAAAGAATATATAGATCTTAACAGATCATTTTTTTCAAAGGACGAGTGGCATTAAGGCATGTTTTCGGCCCAAAAAACTACGACCTTAGGGCAAATTTTTTTCGAAAAATGTTTTT